ACACACATACACACACATACACACACATACACACACATACACACACATACACACACATACACACACACACACACACAAATAATGAAATCAACCCATGAGCCTACACTCCACAAGAGTAAATAGATGTGTGCCACTACTGTAAATCTGCCCAAGAACCCATGGTTAGGGAACTCACAGGCCCCAGGAGTGAACCTATGGTTATTCTGCTAAATGGACAGAATATAAACCACCCTCAAATTTATATCTTTATTAGTGCAGCTCTCCGACCTCTCAGAGGAGTTTCTGCATTCAGTGACTGGTGGTTGGTTCAGAGACTCACAACAGTGTGAGTCAGTGTGAAGAGCCAAGGTCAGGAGCCACCACAGAACAGGGGAACAGGAAGACTGTGAGAGACAGAGGTTGGGGAGCTCTAGAGGGGAGCTGTCCTCTGCACACGACAGGGCCAATGAAGTCATGTGTAGTCACCTACACAACGTCAAATCAGTCAACATTCAGCACGGAGTGGGAAGGGCTCACAAACCCACTCCCAGCCTTACCCCAGCTGTGGACAATTGATGGCTTCTTGGACAGTTGATGGACAGACAGTTGACGGTCAACCATGTTCCTGTGTATAGGAAGCCCAAATAGAGTCAAAGGGAAGGACATGAGGTTGGGTAGGATGATGGGGTTAGAGCTAGAAGGAGTTAGGGGGAGAAGATCACAGGGGATGGCTACAATCAAAGTTCCCGGTATGAGATTCTCAAAGAGTTAATAAAAGTGTTACTTAAAGAAATCTTGGACGATAGCCTCCTTGTGGACTTTCTTCTCCTGGCTTTCTAAACCCTTCCTGTTCCTCAGATTCAATGGCTGTGTCAATCTCACCCTCATGAATGCAGATTTACAACACGGGCAGTTGCCCACCCAGGTTAGAACCGTGGGCTCTGGGCCCTTTTTGTTCTCCCAAAGGAAGAGTTAGAAAAGGCATTTGCACTTATTCCTCTGGTTTAAAGCTTTTTAAAGTTCCACGGTTTCAGACAATCAGATTGAGAAGGCTAACAACACCTTTCACAACACCATCCTTTAAATACCAGCAGGACACACCTGGAAAGGCAGGAGGCTGACCGGCACACCTAATGCTTTTGTTAAGAGCCATTGTGAGGCCCTGAGCCCTGCGCAGCTTAGCTAGTCCTGGCTTTGAATGTAAGAAACTTGCAGGAAAAGGAGAGAAGCAGAGAATCCTAACTCTGCTCGCTTGTCACCCATTCACCCCACAAGGCAGCACCAATCATCTGCCAGACCCTGTCGTGGGTCCCGATCACGCCACGGTCTCAACTTACAAAGTGCACAGAATAGTTCATTCCTGCCAAATACTTTGAGAAAGCGTTGGCCAAGAAAGAGGGCACAGCTAACCCAGAGAGGACATGGCTTCTGGGGAGGGCGTGGCTCCATGAGAGGATGTGGCTTCCCAGGAGGGCGTGGCTCCCTGGGAGGGTGTGGCTTTCTAGATCAGCTTCTAAGAGGTGAATTAGGCCCTGTTGAGATTTTCTTTATATATGTTTTATATGTGTGCACACATGCGTGTGTGTGTGTGTGTGTGTGTGTGTGTGTGTGAATGCCTGTATGCGTGTGCGTGTGTGTGTGTGCATGTGTATTCGTGTGTCCATGTGTGTGTACTTTGAGTGTTACTTTAGGGTCTCTCACCGAGACCTGTGGCTCACAGATTAGGCTGGGCTACCTGGCCAGTGAGTTCCAGTGATCCTTTAACTAGAATTACAGGTGTGCATCACTGTGTCTGGCTTTTTACTTTTCATTTGTTTTTATTTTTAAACACAATTCTTTATTCATTCTCTGGGAATTCCCAGTCCCTCCATATCAGCCCCTCACCCCTGCAGCATGTCCACCCCCAAAAACAATTCCCCTAAATCAATTAAAAACAAAAGAAAACAAAACCCTCACGCCTCTGTTCTCCCAGCCCTTCTTCATTCACCCTAGTGGCATTGGAAGCTGTGTTATCACACAGAGTACTCTTGTCCAATCGGCTCCACCCACAAAATGTCCATTGCAATGAGTCATTGGTCTGGTTCAAGGCCTCTGGCACACCATTACCACTGGACACTTGCAGAAACTCCTCTCAGACATCCCAATGCCCGCCCCTAGTCATGGAGATTCTGCGGCTATCGTTCTGCAGGACCAGACCCTTCACACACTCCAGCATAGATGGGGCAGGTGCCAGGGTGGGCCACCCCTTGGCCCGGGATGTGGGTCTGGGTGGTAGCTGAGCTGGTCCAGGCCACTGGGACTCCCCCCTCTCAGGTATGGAGCAGAGCCTGCGCTCCTAGGTCCATGTCACGGGGGGGGGGGCAGCTCTCCCACACCATGGTGAGGACAGGGGCCAGCTCTCCTGAGTGTGGGGTGGGGGAGTTGAGGGAGAGCAGCTCTCCCATGGGGGGCAGGGCCAGCTCTCTTGCTGCAGTATTCAGTGAGGGCTGGGCTGGTTCAGCAAGGCCCTTGGACCTCAATACACATGGTTCCCATGATCCCCTGAGTAACACAGACCATGGACACCAACTGGGACCCCAGCTGCAGCAGGAACCCAGACCCAAACATGGCCCTCTGCAGCAGCTCAGGGCTCAAGGCAGGAAGGCCCTCAGACACCGACACGGTCTGAGGTAGCTGTCCAGACCCCGGCATCCGCACAGCCCCTGGTGGCAACAGAAACCACAACTGTGTCTGGCTTTTTAGGTGGGTTTTGGGGACAGAACTTGGGTGCTCATGCTTTCGTGACAAGTATAAACTGAGCAATCTCTCTGAAGGGACCTGCTCCCCTTTCGGCAGCCATAACAGCTGAACTCGTGCTTGCCATAAACCTGCCTTGGTCACTTAGAGGTCAGATGCCTGTCTCGTGACAAGGAACCCATCAGAAGTTAGTCACTAGAAAGTCAGATGCCTGCCTCGTGACAAGGAACCAATCAGAAGTTAGCTGGTGGCGCTATGCTTTACGACCCTGGGTGTGCTTTACGGACAAGCGCACAGCAATGACGTAGAGAGCATAGCAACCACCCTGGGAGGGCCTATGGGCCATAACAACCAGTTGACCAATCAACACAGAGCAAGCCCTCCAA